GCATTCTCATTACATTGTCAATTTTATTTTAACCATGAGTAGCTAAATCTTTTAGTTGGCAAAACCAAGGGGAACCTTCACTTAGGTATACCATTTCAACTCATTCTCCTCCCTTCTTTCAGAGTTCAATGGTTCGGTTTGACTGGGTTTAGGGTGGATAAGTTGGTGAGTCTTTGATATTCCGTAGGCCTAGTCACGGTTTATGCTTAGATATTCATCAATCTTATTCCTAGCTTCCCGNCTTTGATATTCCGTAGGCCTAGTCACGGTTTATGCTTAGATATTCATCAATCTTATTACTAGCTTCCCGTGAATCAATCGTTCATTCGTGCTCTATTGGAGGAGGGTTTCGAGTTGAGACGGTGTTCCTATTGGAGTGACCTCTNAGTCTTTGATATTCCGTAGGCCTAGTCACGGTTTATACTTAGATACTCACTCATCTTATCCCTACCTTCCCACGAATTAATCAAACATTTATACTCTATTGGAGGAGGGATTCGATNTATTCCGTAGGCCTAGTCACGGTTTATACTTAGATACTCACTCATCTTATCCCTACCTTCCCACGAATTAATCAAACATTTATACTCTATTGGAGGAGGGATTCGATTTGAGATGGTATCCCTATTGGAGTGACCTCTTGGATTAGCCAATGTTTGTTTCTCATTTCATTTTCACCAAAACACACTTCACCAAACAACTTTCAACAACAAAAGATTTTACACTTTCATTCACCCAAAAATCACCTTCTCTTTGGTTCACATCCTTCCCCGTGGAAATGACTTTGGAGTACCTCTAAGTAAAACACGATCCACAAAAATCTCCTTGCACTTGAGGAGCATTTTTTTTTCATACACATAACACATTTCCACCATTCCATTTTCCCATCTCATTGCCCTTGCTTTTGACACTACTTAAAGGGAGAGTGACATTCCCCTCCACCCATAGAAAATGCATTATAAGGGATGATATTTAGGGGATAGGGATAACAAGGAAAATAATCAAGCACTATTCATGCTTAGAAGAAAGACAACAATGGAAATGGAAGACATTCTAAAGCAATTCAAGATTGTAGCTAAGATAATGCAAGGAAACTTAAACTAAAAGAGAATGCATTTAATACCCATTTACAACTAAGAAATTTAAGAACACAGAAGCATTAATGGTATAAACTTTAATGGAAGACTAAACCTGAAAACAACTAGAAAAAAATGACATTCAAAGCATTAAAGGAAGCTTAGAAGATTCTTACATTAAATTAGAAGACAATGCATGGAGGAAAATGTAAAAATCTCAACTTCTCTCTCTAGCACTATTCATCTTCTTCCTAGAGCTTCTCTCTCTATATTACAATGTGTACCTATTGCATAATTAATAATGGAGAGATTTATTCCTTTTCAAAAATGTCCATGGAGTGATGCCAAGTCTTGTGATGTGATCTCCATCCATAGGGTTGCACAGAGAGTGAGTTGGACAAGGGTGGTGCAGGCATAGCCTGCACACCCTACACATTCTCTCTCCTCTTTCCTCATTTATAATCCAAGCTCCAAATGTCCATTAAGTGGTGCAATAGGGATGTTCATTGTGTAAGACATGTTTGGAATATGTAGGAGAGTGACTGGTGGGACCCTTAAAATGGCAGAGCTTGATATACAGAATCTTGGCTGTTTCAGTAGAGCGTACCGATACTTTGAATTCCAGTAGTTGAAGTGTACCGGTACGGAATACTAATACTAAAAATCCAGTAGCTAAAGCTTACTGATACTACGAATTCTAGTAGCTGAAGCGTACCGGTATGGCATACCAGTACTATTTCTCTTATTTTTGCTGATTCTTTGGTTTCCTCCCCTCCAAAGCTATCTTCAAGCCATCCCTTCATTATCATTCACCTCAAATAATAAGAGGAGACTTTAATAAGCACCAATTATCACATTTTATCTGCAAACACCACAAATCTTTTTTAATAGCTGAAGTACCACAAATCCACTCAATTAATCCCCAAAAGCAAGTGAAAAAGGAATGTACTAGCACATGAAATATGCAATGTTTTGTGCTAATCACAGCCCCAACTTGAGCTTTGCTAGTCCCTAGCAAAATTTATTTTTGAAAACAAAGTAACAAATATAACATACAATCATCCATTTAAACAAGTAATTAACCCAGCACAATCAAAATGTATAAATCATAATGCAATTGTAGAAATAAACATGGACAAACAGAAACAAAAATTGTGGTATGCCGTTAATGTGTTTTAAAGTTGGATTACATGGAGTCGGACATCAAAAAGGGACAAAATGGCCTATGACTTAAGGGTTCTTGTACTAGGCCAACGACTCCAACCAAGCTATATACAATCCAACACAAAAATAAAAGGCAGACACCACAAAACATCCTACTCTTCATCCCCATCATCATCACTGTCAGAATCACTCTCACCCTCAGCATCCTCATCTCGATCATCATTCTACTTAACCACTGTGGAGGCAGAGCGGACAGATACTGAGGGGCTAGTAGTTGGCGATGTGGGTCCACCCAGGATAGGTCTTTCTGGAAATGTGTGCATGAACAGTTCTTTCACCATTAATGAAATACGATGCACTGACACCTTTAACCCATGCACTGTCATCTCTAAAGCATCTAGGCACTGAGGGATCGAGCATGGTGGTGCGATTGTGGATGGCCTAGCAAAAAGAGGATCCCGGGATGGAAAGCTCTACAGTTGGGGCAAATGAGGATGGTCTAGGATGCACAGAATCAGAGCCCAAAGTCATAGCTCACTCTCCCTGACTCATCACCCTCCTATTTGAACTACTGGCTCTGCCAATCGCCCTAGTCTTAGGGGGAGTGAGCTTATCGACGGCATAGGCCTTCACCTTGAAGTGCCGGCACATCCTAGTCACCAAGCTCCCGAATGGTAACTTGTTTATAGGCTTATGTGTCACGACAAAATCTCTCATTACCTCCCATATGAAAAGGGCAAAGTAAACTATCTGCCTGGACATGACAACGTCCAACTGACCTAGCTTTTCAAGATTCGATTTCTTTTCTGCACCCCTAGGTAGGAGATTGTAATGGAGAATTTTATTCAAAAGACCATACAAGTGCTTTAACCCTCCACTTTGAACATTTCCCTTGAATTGCGTAGGATCATCGTACATCAAAGCCACAAGCTCAATAATGGTTTTGGCTTAGGTGACATTGTGAGGATAAACTTGGGGAAAGGAGGGTGTAAATGACATCAGGGGTCACTTCGAACATCTTACCCTAAACATTTGTTCTCAATACTTCCACCTTGTTCACCTCTACAACCCTTAATGCTTGGTAAAACTCCCTACACATCGACAAATTGTACCCATCAACTAGCTCAAACCAAAACCTCATTCCATGGGGACTAATATGCTTGATCACTTCATTCCTTGGGCCTAGCAAAATATGATCTAAGTACCGCTCACATGTCACATTCTTTCCCTGAATCAACTGGAACCATGCCTCATTCTTTGCTCTTATTTTATGCTCATTAGGGTCCTTACTTGATTCCTCATCACTCCTTTTGTGGCTACTAGGCTCTTCGGGTTGAGAGGAGTTAGAACTGACTCGTTCGGTCCGGGCCATGCAATGCAACAGTGCCCCTATAGATAATAATGCAAAATAAATCNAGAGGAGTTAGAACTGACTCGTTCGGTCCGGGCCATGCAATGCAACAGTGCCCCTATAGATAATAATGCAAAATAAATCAACAAAAAACCCTCAATCGAGTCTATAGCCTCATGAACGACCTCAAAGTGATGAGCCATTTAGAGCTTCTTGAAGGTTTTGGAGAGATTGAAGGAAGAGAGGATTTGGACTTATAGGATTTTCGGCACTTAGGGTTTCAAAAGGGCTTAATGGCACTAAATCACAGCGAAGGGAAATAGAGATTTGAGGGATTTGAAGGAGGTGGAGGTGATTTGGAAACCTAGGAGGCTTTTGAGTGAGAGAGGAATGATTTAGGGTCTGTAAGTTAAGAGGTAAATGAAGAGTCCCAAAAAAAAACAATCGATTAAAAACCCTAATTTTCGGCATTCCAGGCGAACCGTACCGGTATGGCATGTCGGTACTGCGAACACCAGTGACCAAGGCATACTAGTACGATTTTGGCTTGTTTGCAAAATATTCATGTTAAGCAAACCTCCTCCACTCCTTTCCAATTCATGACAAACCCTATACATTCTACCACTCTCTTTACGACCACTACTTCACCCTAAACATATACTCCACTTGTAAACCACAATTTGAACCATCATGCCCAATTNTCCCCTTCATTCATATACTATACATGCTAAAATGTGATGTTTAGAGGTTAGGAAACTACAAGGAAATTTGTCAAGCAACAGGCGACCAACTATCTTTTCTGCTTCATCATCCAAAGTTCGTTGTGGTAACGCTCTTAATTTTTAGTTCTATTTTCTTCTCACTTCTCTTTCTTTTTATATCGGCATAACCCCTCTTCTTTCCTTCTAATTGATTGTCCAACAAGTCTCGGTTATTGTTAAGCGCTTCCACTTGCAGAGGCTCTAGGAATTCGAGAGGCTAAAGGCTAAAGCCTACAGAGCTCTTGCCACAGCAAAGGAGGAGGTGGTAGCTAGGGATAAGACTTTGTCCTCTCAGGTGGCCCAGATTGTTGAACTCCTGAAGGAGGCCGAGACGGCTAGGGGGAATGTTGAGAAAATAAGTGCTGCCCTCATCGACGCTGAGAAGAAAATAACGGAGTCGACCAAACAGCTCTCAACGTCTGAGGCTAAGGTGACAGAGTCGGAATATGTTTGGATCTTACTCAGGAGTTGGATAAAGTGAGGGCTACGCTGGAGGTCGCCAGCAAGACTCGGGTGAAAATAGTGGCCCAGTGCGCCGACGACATCCTGGTGGCCTTCGAAGACTAGAAGAGAGAGTATTTCAAGCAAGGGTGGGACGAAGCCCTAAAGTCTGAAGGTGTCCCCGCCGACTCTCCCTTTTTCCTAGAGCACGAGTACAACCCTTCTAAGGCAGTGATGCAAGCTTCAGTTGAGGGTGTAGATGAAGACGCTGCAAATGCCCAATTTTTAAGCTCGGCTTCAACCACTGATGCTGCAGCCTTGGCCCAAGCTGACACTAATTATGTCCGGGCCTTTCCTACTCCAAAGCCAACAACGATCTCTGCTCTTGCTCCATCTGTGATGACTTTTTTCTTTTTATTCTCGCTTACTTGTTCTCTAACTTCTAAACTTCTAACTTGCTTGTAATTATTTACTCCGAAACTCCTAAGTGTTGAGTCTTAAGGGACAGAGGTCTTCCTCGGCGACGGGTTTTCCTTAAGGCCTAGCCTTCCTCCATGGGATACAATTTCCCTTCAAACANGACAGAGGTCTTCCTCGGCGACGGGTTTTCCTTAAGGCCTAGCCTTCCTCCATGGGACACAATTTCCCTTCAAACATTCCAAGTGTTCCCCCTTGGGGGATCATGTTCCTTCCAAGAGGCTAGGCTCCCTTGTTTATTTGGGGGCAAGTCCTTAAGATTCTGCCTCCGGGGCCATGCCCTTCTAGGAGGCTAGGCTCCTTTATTTATTTGGGGGCAAGAGTCCTTAAGACTCTACCTCTGGGGTCATGCCCCTTCCAGGAGACTAGGCTACTTTGTTTATTTGGAGGTAGGAGTCCTAAGATTTTGCCTTCAGGGCCATGCCCCTTCTACGAGGTTAGGCTCCTTTGTTTATTTGGGGGGCAAGAGTCCTAAGACTCTGCCTCCGGAGGCATGCCCCTTCCAAGAGGCTAGGCTCCTTTGTTTATTTGGGGGCAAGAGTCTTAGAACTCTGCCTCCGTGGCCATGTTCCTTCCACNTTCTACGAGGCTAGGCTCCTTTGTTTATTTGGGGGGCAAGAGTCTTAGAACTCTGCCTCCGTGGCCATGTCCCTTCCATGACAGTACACTTAAAATGAGTATGCTTCAAAAATCATATTTCTTTAAATTCATTACATTCCAAGGCCGAATTACAGTATTTCATTCCATGTTTTCTAACTTATATGACCCGGAGCTTTCTACTGACGTGACTTCGTATGATCCTTCCCAGTTAGGTCTCATTTTTCCATCTACTGGATCCTAGGTATTTCCTACCACCCTTATGAGCACCAGGTCGCCTACCTAGAATTTTCGAGATGTGACCTTTCTATTGTAGAGCCTAAACACCTCTTCTTGATACTTGGCTAATTTTAAGGCAGCCACCTCCCTTCTTTCCTCCACGAGATCCATGTCTAAACTGATTTGGCTATCGTTGTCCACTGCATCGAAGGCTTGTGTTCTTATGTTAGGGAGACCAAACAAGATTATTGCCTTTACCCCGTATGCAAGGGCGAATAGCATTTCTGTTGTTGAGGTATGAGGAGTGGTCCTATATGCCCAAAGCACATTTAGGAGCTTGTCCACCCATTTTCCCTTTGCTTTTTCTAGCCTTTTTTTGATCCCGTTGATGATGGTATTATTTGAAGATTCTACTTGTCCATTGGCCTGAGGGGATGAGGGCGTTGAATAGTAGTTTCGGATTCTAAGGTGTTCACAAAAGGATTTGAAGGGTCCGCTATTGAATTGAGTCCCGTTATCCAACACGAGTGCACGGGGGACTCCAAATCTTATCACTATATTTTTCCACACGAACTTCTTGGTGTCCACGTCCCTGATATGAGTCAAGGGCTCCACGTCGACCCATTTTGTGAAATAGTCAGTCCTTACTATCAGGAAATTCTTGTCTCTAAGAGCCCTCAGGAGGGATCTAACCAGGTTGAGTCCCTATTGAGATAACGACCAAGGACTAGTTAGTGGGTGCAAGTCTCCAGTCGGCTGCATAATAACTGGAGCAAACCTCTAACACTGATCTCATTTTCAGAAGTAAGCATGCACCTCCCTTTCATCCGCGGCCACCAATATCTTTGGGACATGATACGATGGGCCATGGATCGTCCACCTAAGTGCCTCCCACGTATGCCTTTATGTACCTTGTACAGGAGTGGTTCGACTTTATCCTCATAGATGCAAAACAAGCATGGTTCAGAGAATGACTTTCGGTACAGCTTCTTATCTGGGGAGGTCCAGAACCTTGGAGCCTTTAACTTTATCTTTTTAGCTTCTTGGGGCATTCAGAGAACTCTCTGAAAATGAGGAACTTAAGTAACGGATCAGTTTAGTTGGAGGACTCTTCCCTTTCCTGGACGACTACCACTCTGGGGCTTTATCTATGCTGGATTTGGAAAGGTACTCCACGGTGATCCTCCGTGTCACGTCGGAGTCCAGTGCCGTGGCCAGACATGCCAAGGCGTCAGTGTGGACATTCTTATCTCGAGGAACTTGTTNATATGACCCGGAGCTTTCTACTGACGTGACTTCGTATGATCCTTCCCAGTTAGGTCCCATTTTTTCATCTACTGGATCCTAGGTATTTCCTACCACCCTTATGAGCACCAGGTCGCCTACCTAGAATTCTCGAGATGTGACCTTTCTATTGTAGAGCCTGAACACCTCTTCTTGATACTTGGCTAATTTTAAGGCAGTCACCTCCCTTCTTTCCTCTACGAGATCCATGTCTAAACTGATTTGGCTATCGTTGTCCACTGCATCGAAGGCTTGTGTTCTTATGTTAGGGAGACCAAACAAGATTATTGCCTTTACCCCGTATGCAAGGGCGAATAGCATTTCTGTTGCTGAGGTATGAGGAGTGGTCCTATACGCCCAAAGCACATTTAGGAGCTTGTCCACCCATTTTCCCTTTGCTTTTTCTAGCCTTTTTTTGATCCCGTTGATGATGGTCTTATTTGAAGATTCTGCTTGTCCATTAGCCTGAGGGGATGAGGGCGTTGAATAGTAGTTTCGGATTCTAAGGTGTTCACAAAAGGATTTGAAGGGTCCGCTATTGAATTGAGTCCCGTTATCCAACACGAGTGCACGGGGGACTCCAAATCTTATCACTATATTTTTTTCACACGAACTTCTTGGTGTCCACGTCCCTGATATGAGTCAAGGGCTCCGCGTCGACCCATTTTGTGAAATAGTCAGTCCTTACTATCAGGAACTTCTTGTCTCCAAGAGCCCTCAGGAGGGATCTAACCAGGTTGAGTCCCTATTGAGATAACGACCAAGGACTAGTTAGTGGGTGCAAGTCTCCAGTCGGCTGCATAATAACTGGAGCAAACCTTTAACACTGATCTCATTTTCAGAAGTAAGCATGCGCCTCCCTTTCATCCGCGGCCACCAATATCCTTGGGACATGATACGATGGGCCATGGATCATCCACCTAAGTGCCTCCCACATCTGCCTTTATGTACCTTGTACAGGAGTGGTTCGACTTTATCCTCATAGATGCAAAACAGGCATGGTTTAGAGAATGACTTTCGGTACAGCTTCTTATCTGGGGAGGCCCAGAACCTTGGAGCCTTTAACTTTATCTTTTTAGCTTCTTGGGGCATTCAGAGAACTCTCCGAAAATGAGGAACTTAAGTAACAGATCAGTTTAGTTGGAGGACTCTTCCCTTTCCTGGACGACTACCACTCTGGGGGCTTTATCTATGCTGGATTTGGAAAGGTACTCCACGGTGATCCTCCGTGTCACGTCGGAGTCCAGTGCAGTGGCCAGACATGCCAAGGCGTCAGTGTGGACATTCTTATCTCGAGGAACTTGTTTGATTTCAACTTTCCTAAATTTTTGGAGTAAGGCTATTGTTTTATGGTGATAAGCTTTCATTCTAGATTCCCTTGCTTCAAACTCTCCATTGATTTGGTTGACAACCAACATAGAATCGCAGTGGACAGTCAACTTTGTTGCTCCCACTACATTGGCAAGTTTAAGTCCGAAAATAAGGGCCTCATACTCCGCTTCATTATTGGACGCCTTGAAGCCTAGCCAGACGGCTTGTTCTGTGACCAATCCCTCTGGGGAGACTAGCAGTACCCTAATTCGAGAACTTTTATTGTTGGAGGATTTATCCACGCAGTGACTCTAGGAGAGTTCTTGGCAGTCCGTGGAGGGCTCCACCTCTGGGAGAGGTGACTCCCCTTTGGTAAACTCCGCTATAAAATTCGTCAGCACCTGCCCCTTTATGGCAGTGCGAGACTTGTAATGAATATCATGTTCCCTCATCTCCACTGCCCACTTGGCTATTCTTCTTAAGAGGTCCTCCTTCTTTGGAATTGCTTTCAAGGATTGATTTGTCAGGACTGTGATCGGGTGTGCTTAAAAGTAATGTCTCAAATTTTTCTTGCGACTGTGATCAAGGCCAATGCTAGCTTCTCTAGGAGTAAGTATCTTGTTTTCGTGTTCAATAGAGCATTGCTCACGTAGTACACTAGCTTCTATTCACGCTTATGCTCATGGATCAGTACACCACTAACAGCGAATTCTGAAACGGTTAAGTAAAGGAACAACATCTCCCCCCTCACTGGGACGAATAGGGTTAGGACAACCTTGAGGTACTCCTTGATCCCTCCAAGTGCTTTCTCACATTCCTAATTCCAAGCATCCTTCCCAGACCTCCTGATAGCCCCAAAGAAGGGTATGTACTTGTCCAATGACTTACAACTAGCATTCCTATGCATCTTTGGACTTCTCAGAATGTCCAGGGGCTTCGTACGTCCATGATGAGTTGTATTTGCTTTGGGTTGGCTTCGACACCACGTTGACTTACTAAGTATCCAAGGAACTTCCCGGAACCAACTATAAAGACACACTTTACCGCATTCAGTTTCAGTTCGTACGCCTATAGGGTGGAAAATGTGTCTTCTAGGTCCGTAATGTGATCATCCCTTCTCCTACTCTTGACCAACATGTCATCAATATACACCTCCATATTGTTCCCTATCTATCACTTAAACATCTAGCTCATGAGTCTCTAGTACATAGCTCCTACATCTTTAAGCCGAATAACATGACCATGTAACAATAAACTCTTCTCGGAGTGATGAAGATAGTCTTCTCCTGGTCAAGTGGATAGAGAGGAATCTGATGGTAGCCAACCCTGGCACCCAAGAAGCTTATGCACTGGTGCCCTACTGTGGCATCCATCAGCTAGTCCACCTTTGGGAGGGAAAAGTCATCCTTTGGACAAGCCTTGTTCAGGTTGGTGAAGTTCACGCAAACGTGCCATTTCCTGCCCTTCATTTTTGCACAAACTATATTTGATAGCCATTCCGGGAACTG